TCAGATCGGTGCAGCTCTGGCTGTTGCAGCCAATTGGGGAGTGAACCATCGGATGGAAGACACACACACCCCCCCCCCCCCCCGCCTCTCTCTCTGCCTCACCTCTTTCTGTGTAACTCTGACTTTCAAATAAATAATCTTTAAAAAAAAAGAAATACTGAAAATCAATGATAGTGAAATGTTGAAAGCATTTCTTCGGAGATTATGAGTGAACCATGGGTGCCTGCTATCACCATCTCTGTTTGACTATGCAGAAAATACAAAAGAATCCTTAGATTACCTTTGAGAATTTGTGTATTTAGGAAGGTCAATATATAAAAATCAGAAAACTGGGTAAGGTGTTTTGCCTGTGGTTAAGTTGCTGCCTGTGAAGCCAACATCTTGCTTGCGTGCTGAGTTTCGTTCCAGCTCCACTCTGGATCTCAGCTTCCTGCTACTGCACAAGCTGGGAGGCAGCAGGTGATGACACAAGTAGCTAGATCCCTGCCACTCCCTTGAAGGACCTGGATTGGATTCTTGGCTCCCAACTTATAGCCCTGCCATCGTGAGCATTTGGGGAGTAAACCAGCAGATGGGAGTACGCTTTCTCTTCCTCTCTCAAATAAGTAAATAATTAATTACTGAAAATCAAACAGGAAATGACATAAAATTTTGTATAATACCTAAGTGTGTATATCAGTACCCACAAAAATAAAATACCTATCCGTAAATTTAACCAAACTAATGTAGAATATCTACACAGAAAACTGTAAAATATTGAAATAATTTCTAAGGAACTAAATGAGGCAGGCAAATGATTTCTCTCCAAAGGATTCTTAGGCTCTCAATAAAAATCTCTACAGATTTTTTTTCCCTAGAAATTGTGAGTGCTACTAAAATGGAAATGCAAAATGCAAGAGTCAGTAAAACACTCTCAGTTAAGGAGGGCTGGCTAGGGGGGCTTTCCTCGGTATCAAGACTTGTTACAAAGTCATGATAATTAAGTCAGTGGACAATGTTAGACAAGTGACAATGGAAAGTACAGAAATATATTCATGTGTGAGTGGAGTCTTGATATGTGTCACAGCAGGAGGCAGAGCAAAGGGAAAAGCCCCTTTTTAAGCAGTGCCAAATTGTGGAAAAAATAGAATGATGCCTACTTCATATCATATCCAAAAATCAATTTGTGAGGTGATTATAAATTCTAGTAATTTCTGTGAAGGAAACAAACTAATAATTTTAAGATAACAAGTTATGTGTAGAGAATACATTTAGAAAGGACAAACAAGGAAGGTTCTCTGAGTAGGTGATATTTAAATGAACATTTTTGGGATGAAAAATCAGCAAAGAAATTGATGTATTTTAAAGAAATAAGTCTAGGATTATAAAGTAAAGGGGAGGGAAGAGCCATGAATAGTTTTGGAGAGAGAGGCATGGGATAGATGATGAAAGAGTTTGTAGGACAAAGAAGAGTTTCAGATTTAAGTCCAGTGGGAGCTACTGACCCCCTGCCTGGGACACTTTCCTGAGGTCTCTAAATAGCTCACTGCTCTTCCCAGATTATTTCCCTTTCTCTACCTCAACTCCATTTCTGCTTCTCACCTACTTTATTTTTCTTATTAGCAGCTGTTATTCCCAACATGGGATGTGTGTGTGTTGATGTGTGTTTTTAAGGGTCTGAGACCCATTAGAATGTTAGCTTTGAGAGAACAGGGACTTTGATTTCTTTTGTGTCTTGTTTCTTTCAAGTGCCTGGTACATACTTGTTTCTTGGTGATTATTGTTTAAATGGATAATTCAGTGATTTTAAACAGGAGATTAACGTGATTCACATTTTTCTTTCTTTCTTTTTTTTTTTTTTTTTTTTTTTTTTTTTTTTGACAGGCAGAGTGGACAGTGAGAGAGAGAGACAGAGAGAAAGGTCTTCCTTTTGCCGTTGGTTCACCCTCCAATGGCCGCCGCGGCCGGCATGCTGCAGCAGGTGCACCGTGCTGATCCGATGGCAGGAGTCAGGAGCCAGGTGCTTTTCCTGGTCTCCCATGGGGTGCAGGGCCCAAGCACCTGGGCCATCCTCCACTGCACTCCCTGGCCACAGCAGAGAGCTGGCCTGGAAGAGGGGCAACCGGGACAGAATCCGGCGCCCCGACCGGGACTAGAACCCGGTGTGCCGGCGCCGCTAGGCGGAGGATTAGCCTAGTGAGCCGCGGCGCCGGCCCTGATTCACATTATTTTTATAAGAGATTTTGGCTGTCAGGTGAAGAACCTTATAGGTGAGAGAATCTGAGTCCTCTAATGAAAGAAGATGATGACTTGGACTATGATGGTAATGGAGAAGAGCAGGAAATCAAGAGGGTGTGTTTTGGAGGTAGAAACAATAGGACTTATTGATGGGTTGGATGTAAAAAGTGTGGGAATAAAGGAGAATCAAAGATGATTCATATAAATTGCTATTCACTGAGATGGAAAAGATGAAAAGAAGGAAATTTAGAGTTGAATTTCGGGAGTGTTAAGGTTAAGAGATCTTTGTGACATCTCAGTGGAAATGCTAGGTACACAGTTAAAATTTTTTAACAGAAAGGAAAGGGCTGACCTAGAATAAAGCAGCTGTAGCCTTTCAGTTTAACTGAAGCATTTATTCTTAGAATAAGTGGAGGGGCCAACACTGTGGTGTAGTGTGTTAAGCCGCCATCTGCCTCTGGCCCATTCATTTCCTGGCTGCTCCACTTCCACCCAACTCCCTACTAACGCGCCTGGGAAAGCAGCAAAATTTGGCTCAAGTGTTTTTGCCCCTGCATCCATGTGGGTGACCTAGGGAGAAACTCTTGACTCCTGGCTTCAGTCTGGCCGTTACAGCCATTTAGGGAGTGAATCAGCAGATGGAAGATCTCTCTGTCTGCGTCTCTCCTTTTCTAACTCTGCCTTTCAGATAAAATAAATAAATCTTAAAAAAAAAAAAAAAAAAGTAGAGATAGGCTATATGAGAAATTATTAGCCCAGAACTCTGTTTTAGAGGTAAACTGAAACCAAGGTAAAAGTCTTAGCAGTTACAGTTCTTTTATTGTCTTGGAAATGATTACTCAATATTGGAAAATATTTCTGGATACAAAAATAATTGAGAAAAAAATATAGCAAATGGGTTCTTGAGATTTTTGCTTTTCGTGCTTCCTGATAAATCAGTTCTTAGTCCTGAGCCTTATAGAACTGTATTTGAATTCCCCTTTTGCTGTGGACAAGTCTCCTCACTCCTCTAAAATGTTTCCTTTGCTAAAAAATGGTTGTAACTAGGGTTGCAGTAAAGAATAAATGTTTTACACTGTGGATGGACTTAAATGGTGCAGACACAGTTAATGGTGGCTGTTAAAATGCATGAGCGTTTTATCAGCATTCAGTGACTGGTAGTTCTCTTTCTGCTCCCAACCAAAACTTTTACGTGGTGTTCTGTCATTTTTAAGTAGATGCTAACTGGCTGCAGTAAGCTTATTTGTGCTCTTGGGTTTCTACTATTAGTGGACTGCTTTCCCCATGTAATTGAATAGGTTTTCCTTGTACTGCACTAAGCCCTGGATGATGGGAAGTGTCTTGCTGTCTGAAGAGAAAGTACAGATTATACTGGATGTGTCTGGTTTTTTTTTTTTGTTTTTTTTTTTTTTTAAGATTTATTTATTTTGAAAGAGTTAGGGAGAGAGACAGACAGAAATCTTCCATTTTCTGGTTCAGTCCCTAGATGGCTACAACGGCCAACACTGGGCCAGGCCAGATAGGAACTTCATCTGTGTGGCCCATGTGGGTGGCAGGGGCCCAAAAACCTGAGTCATCTTCCTTTGCTTTTCCTAGGCCATTATCAGGGAGCTAGATCAGAAGTGGCGCAGCTAGGGAGTTGGTATTGTGGCATAGCAGATTAAATCTCGGCCTGAGGGGCCAGGGCTGTGGCACAGAGGGTAAAGCCGCCACCTACAGTGCCGACATTCCATAAGGGCACCGGTTTGAGTCCCGGCTGCTACACTTCTGACCCAGCTCTCTGCTATGGCTTGGGAAAGCAGTAGAAGATGGCCCAAGTCCCTGGGCCCCTGCACACATCTGGGAGACTCAGAAGAAGCTCCTGGCTTCGGATCAGCGCAGCTTTGGCTGTTGCACCCATCTGGGGAGTGAACCAGCAGATGGAAGTCTTTTTGTCTGTCTCTCTCTCTCTGCCTCTGCATCTCTGTAAATCTGCCTTTCAGATAAATAAATAAATCTTAAAAAAAAAAAATTCTGCCTATGACACCAGCATCCCATTATAGAAACCAATTCAAGTCCCAGCTGCTCCACTTCCAATCCAGCTCCCTGCTAATGCACCTGGGAAAGCATCAGAAAATGGCCCAAATGCTTGGGCCCCTGTACACAAATGGGATACTCAGAATAAGCTCCAGGCTCTTGGTTTTGGTTGACCCAGCCCCAGCAGTTGCAGCCATTAGGGGGTAAAACCAGTGGTTGTAAAATTTCTCTGCATCTCTTCCTGTCTCTGAAACTCTGCCTTTCAACTAAATAAAAACTAAATCTTTAAAAAAAAAAAAAAGGTGAAATAACTGAGACAGTAATGGGCACCTATATGGGTTGCTGGCTTTGCAGGCATTGATTTTACCCACTATGTGTTTGCCTTTGTTATTGTTTTAAAATTTATTTATTTGAAAGGCAGAGTTACAGAGAGGTAGAGACAGAGAGTCTTCCATCTGCTGGCTTACTGCCAAGATGGCCGCAATGGCCAGAGCTGCACCAGTCCGAAGCCAGGAGCCTAGAGCTTCTATTGGGTCTCCCACATGGGTGCAGGGGCCCAAGCACTTGGGCTATCTTCTACTGCTTTCCCAGGCCACAGCAGAGAGCTGGATCAGAAGTGGAGAAGCTGGGACTCGAACCGGCACCCATATGGGATGCCAGCACTACAGCACTGTGCCACAGTGCTGGCCCCAAGCATGTCTGTTTTTAACATACCAAAACACTCCAGTGGTAACCTAACTCTGTTACTTTATTTTCCTCTTGTGTAGTTGTGTGCTGCTCATCTCCCAACTGAATCAGAAGCACCAAATCATTATCAGGCAGTGTGTCGTGCACTGTTTGCAGAGACGATGGAGCTGCATACATTTCTGACCAAAATTAAGAGTGCAAAGGAGGTAAGTATGCTGCTTTGATATTTATTGGCACTGTGAAAGAAAAACTTGAATTGTCAACACTGCCTATTCTGTTACTTTAAAATTTTATTATTGTCATGATGGCCTGATGCTGAAAATCACTTAGGAGAAGCAACTTATGCACAATTAAATCTATTGTGTTAAGATATCAGTAGTGTGAATCCATTTTATGAAACAGATTTTCACACAGTTTCTTTCCCTATGAGTTGGATTCATGGGTGTCCCGTGGTACTTGCTTTTGCCCACTTTCTGCCACTCTTTTCATTTGTCTATTTCAATGTATGCAGCTCCATTTGTCTGTTTTGTCTATTTCATTTGTCTATTTTGAAATGTGTTTGTACCTCTTCCAGGAAGGGATATGGTAGGCAACTCCCATATCTGATGATTTGTTTAAGAGCTTTTAAATACTTTTTATTTTTATTTTTTATTTTATTTATTTTTATTTTTTTGACAGGCAGAGTGGACAGTGAGAGAGAGAGACAGAGAGAAAGGTCTTTCTTTTTTTGCCGTTGGTTCACCCTCCAATGGCCGCCGCGGCCAGCGCGCTGCGGCCGGTGCACTGCGCTGATCCGGTGGCAGGAGCCAGGAGCCAGGTGCTTTCCCTGGTCTCCCATGGGGTGCAGGGCCCAAGCACCTGGGCCATCCTCCACTGCACTCCCTGGCCACAGCAGAGAGCTGGCCTGGAAGAGGGGCAACCGGGACAGAATCTGGCGCCCCGACCGGGACTAGAACCCGGTGTGCCGGCGCCACTAGGCGGAGGATTAGCCTAGTGAGCCGCGGCGCCGGCCCGTTTAAGAGCTTTTAAAATTAAAGATTTAGGAGCTGGCACTGTGGCGTAGCAGGTAAAGCCACCCCCTGCGGTGCTGGCATTCCCAAATGGACACTGGTTCCAGTCCCAGCTTCTCTGCTTTCGATGTAGCTCTCTGCTATGGCCTGGGGAAGCAGAAGATGGTCCAAGTCCTTCGGTCCCTGTACTCATGTGGGAGACCCAGAGAAAGCTCTAGGCTCCTGGTTTGGTATCGGTTCAGCTCCAGCCATTATGGCCAGTTGGGGAGTGAACCAGCGGTTGGAAGACCTCTCTCTCTCTCTCCCTCTCCTTCTCTCTCTGTGTAACTCTGACTGTCAATAAATAAATAAGAAATATAAAAGGAAGACAATGGGATCTTTTTAAAAAATAACTAAATTAAAAATTAATGGAGGAAAAGTGAAATTAAGATTCAAATAATTCAGAATCACATTTTAGTTATTTTACTTATTATTTAGTAACATCTGTGACTTTAAAATGTTACGTGTTAAATCCAAAGAGAAGGCCGGCGCCGTGGCTCAATAGGCTAATCCTCCACCTTGCGGCGCCGGCACACCGGGTTCTAGTCCCGGTCGGGGCGCCGGATTCTGTCCCGGTTGCCCCTCTTCCAGGCCAGCTCTCTGCTATGGCCAGGGAGTGCAGTGGAGGATGGCCCAGGTGCTTGGGCCCTGCACCCCATGGGAGACCAGGAAAAAGCACCTGGATCCTGGCTCCTGCCATCGGATCAGCGCGGTGCGCCGGCTGCAGCGGCGGCCATTGGAGGGTGAACCAACGGCAAAGGAAGACCTTTCTCTCTCTCTCTCTCTCTCTCTCACTGTCCACTCTGCCTGTCAAAAAAAAAAAAAAAAAAAAAATCCAAAGAGAATGATTCTTTTTTTAAAAAAAAAGTTTTATTTATTTATTTGAAAGTCAGAGTTACACAGGAGAGGCAGAGAGAGATAGAGGTCTTCCATCCAATGGTTCACTCCCCAACTGGCTGCAATGGCCGGGGCTGCTTCCATCCGAAGCCGGGAGCCAGGAGCTTCTTCTGGGTCTCCCACGTGGGTGCAGGGGCCCAAGGACTTGGGCCATCTTCTGCTGCTTTCCCAGGCCATAGCAGAGAGCTGAATTGGAAGTGGAACAGCCAGGTCTCAAACTGGCGCCCATATTGAATGCGGGTGCTTCAGGCCAGGGTGTTAACCCGCTGAACCATAGCGCCGGCCCCAAGAGAATGATTCTAATTTACGTGAAAGGTGAGTCACATGTTTTACCTTACACAGACATTTGTGGCATTTCAGTAAGATCCTATGTAAAATAGCTCAGGATCTGGCATAGAGCTCAATGCATGTTAGATAATGAGTATCATTGCTTTTTATGACTAAAGTCCAGAGTTTTATTTGAAGCACTGTGCTAAAACTTACCATGACCCACAGTTTGGGGGAGAGATATGTATTGCAAGTATCAGCAAGGGGCAAAAATTAACCTGGTTGCCAAATAAGACTTGTTTAAAAAGTAGGTGACAAATATCTTGAGCAGATCACTCTTTTTTTTTTTTTTTTTGGACAGGCAGAGTGGACAGTGAGAGAGAGAGAGACAGAGAGAAAGGTCTTCCTTCGCCGTTGGTTCACCCTCCAATGGCCGCCGCGGCCGGCGCACCGCGCTGATCCGATGGCAGGAGCCAGGAGCCAGGTGCTTTTCCTGGTCTCCCATGGGGTGCAGGGCCCAAGCACCTGGGCCATCCTCCACTGCACTCCCTGGCCACAGCAGAGAGCTGGCCTGGAAGAGGGGCAACCGGGACAGAATCTGGCGCCCCGACCGGGACTAGAACCCGGTGTGCCGGTGCCGTTAGGCGGAGGATTAGCCTAGTGAGCCGCGGCGCCGGCGAGCAGATCACTCTTAACAAGTCATCTTTACGTAAACACGTTGTTTGTGTATGAATCAGAGATGTGAACATTTTTCTTTTACTCTGGCCAGGGTATTCCTTGTAGTCCATCTTTTTATGATAGGCCAATGAAAAACTATGCCCTTTTTTTTTTTTAATTTATAAAATTGGACTCAAGAGGAAAGTCACCAACAGTGTGGAAAAGGGCAAACTATTATGTTGTTCATGGAATAATTGTATATGTCTGTGTGTGTGTGTGTGTGTGTGTGTGTATAGGTAGATAGATATGTTTTGTTCTTACTGTGTATTTTCCATGAACATTTGGATGACTTCCCATATGCATGGATTTCAGTTTTTTTCCATTAAAGTCAACTTATTTCTAAATCTCATTTTCCACAAGCTTTTTGAAGTACCCTCATGTGTGTATATATAAATGTGATGAACTAAGCTGTTCCTCTTAGAGCCAGACGAAGTAAGACCTGATTCAAAGCTTCAAAGTGAGCATCTGATAGCATATCCTCAGTTTATCTGAAGTTTATTTGAAGTTTATCAAATAGTAGAAAAGATTAATATTTAAGATCATGGTGACCTTCCCCACTTGTTAAGATTGAGATTGCCATGGGCTAATGCTGTGGTGTACTATGCTAAGCCTCCGCCTGTGGCGCCAACCTCCCGTATGGGCGCCAATTCGAGTCTAGGCTGCTCCTCTTCTGATCCAGCTCTCTGCATATGGCCTGGGAAAGCAATGGAAGATGGCCCAAGTGCTTGGGCCCTTGCACTGGTGTGGGAGACCCACACGGAGCTTCTGGCTCTTTGCTTCAGATCAACCCACCTCCAGCCATTGTGGCCATCTGGGGGAGTGAACCAAAAGGAAAATCTTTCTCTCTGCCCCTCTTTCTGTCTGTAATTTTACCTCTCAAATAAATAAAATCTTTAAAAAAATATTGAGATTGCCTTCTCTAGAGTATTACTTTGAAGGTGTAGCTACAATCTTATGGGGTTAATACAATACATGAGCTCCTAGAGTCGTAATACAGATTTTCTGAGAAATCATTTCTGAGCTTACAGAACAGTATTAGTAAGTATTTTTATTCTTCTATCCCGATGATGTGTGTGTTTTTCTAATTTATTTTTGTTTTTGCTCTTGGTTACAATTTTACATTGTCAGGTATGCGAACACATTCTCAAAAGGAGATTTAAGAGGCAGGCATTTGGCATAATGGTTAACCCACTACTTAGGACACCTCATCCCCTATCAGAGTGAATGTGTTCAAGTCCTAGCTCAGCATCTGATTCCAACTTCCTGCTGATTATACACTGCATCAGTTGGGTTCCTACCATTCATATGGTTCATGTGGGATACTTGAGTTCCTGGCTCCTGGCTTTTGGCCTGACCCAGCCCTGGCTGTTACAGGTATTTAGGGAGTGAATGAGCAGATGATATCTCTCTGCTGTCTGTCTATCTGTCTCTGTCTCTGCTTTACAAATAAAAATAAATTTTAAAAAGGGTTTAAGAATTATCAAGATCTATTTAAATAAAACCTCATAAATTTGCTCTGTGGCAATGTCCGCAGACACTGGCCAGGCGTTGGTGCAGTTTATTAAAACATGAAATGCAGAGTCTATTTTCAGATGGTATAGTTGTTTTATAAAGTAGTAAATTACATTAATTGAACCTGGCTAGTTTATAAACATACTGCTTGTAGTTCATTATCTATGTATTTTGAAAAAATTTGTTTTCATTATGTGATGATTTTTTTCTTAATGAGATCCTTTAAAGTGTTCTCTGAATGAAGAGAAGATTTGGATCCACCTACTGATGCCATGTCTCTAAAGCAATTTGATATCCTTGAAAGCGCACATTACCCTGTCTCATAGCAGTGATATCCTTGTATGTAAGTACAGCTGGAGAGACTATCTAAGAGATCCACTTAGTGCATCAGGTTGTATGAAAGAAGAGCCACCCATGCTGCACTGCCAGTGACTCTAGCACAGTCCAGACCCTGACTGGCAAATTGTATTGATGGTAATATCCTTTTAGTCCATTGTTGTCTAGGTAAATTTTTGATAATCAGTGTCTTGAGTTCGTTACTGTTAAACAAAACTGTTTTTCAGTTGCTAATACTTTAACCCCTTGTTGGTTTCTTATATTACATTCTTAAAATCCCAGCTGCTAAAGTTGCCTCTCTTACCTACACTATTTAATCCTCATAACTATTTTCTAAGTCTTTACAAACTAGTAAAGCGAGACTTAAAGAGATTAGCGGTTCACATAGACAGAGGTTCTGAGCACTGCTGAACCCAGCTTTTCCATCC